GAGATTTATAAAAATAAAGTCAGGTGACATTAAATATCATTTACATTAACATTAATTGAGATATTACAATCAAATAATTCAATTCGGAGACTTAAATTTAATTATACTAATTAATGAAGCAATGTAATTAAAATTTATTTTATGTTGTAGATGACAGAGAAAACAAAGCATAAGGAATTGTAATTGTACTTTCAAATGTATTAATAGTTTTTTTTGTTTTTGTTTTTGTTTTTTGTTAATATAAAATTGCAACTATCAGCCTACTCTAAGAATATAAAAAATATTAAACGATAAATAACGATTGAAAAAAAAAAAAAAAAAAAAGAACTGTTAATTCATATTTTATTATGAAATTTATTGTTTTTTTGTGTGTGTCAAATAAGAGGTCGTTTACATGTAATGAACGCCAGCATAATTGATCGTTTGATAAAATTGAAATTCACTAGTTGTAATTGTAATTCACACGTTATAAAAAATCTCAAGCATCAATTAGAATAATTCCGCATATAAGTGAATCGGGTTCTTTTAAAAATTCCTCGATTTTCAGATAGATTAGACTTATCGGCTTGATTATTGTGAAATCCAATGAAAAAATCGTATGTGCATTGCGTAAGCTATGGCGATGGAAGCCAAGGATGTACTGTTTCGATTGTCCTTACCGTTCACTCTCATCGGCAGCCTGAGAGGCTTCGGCCAATTTGGCAGTGGTTCTGATCTTTCGAGGTCCTCCTCGAGAAGCTGAATGCGCCGGTTAAGAGCAGCGACCTCGGACTCGGCCTGGAACATTTAAACGCCAACATTATTGCACCTTATTTCTTAGAAGATAACATTTATCATTTAATTTTGCATTTCTCGTTGCCTTTAAATCAAGCATTTCATAAGATAAATGTATGAATTTTATCCTTTAAACCTTATCAATTTTCAAATAGGTATGGGGCGGGGGATGGGGGACTTAATTAATCGATTCAATTACGTATTGATGTATATGTAATTTTTACAAATACCAACTGCATTAAATATTTTACCAAGTATTGAATTATTATTATAAATTAATTTTATTATTACTTTTATTATTACTGTTTACATTAGTTTTCAAATTTTTATACTCTGCTTTCATACTTTAATTTCATCATAATTTAATTTTATCCATTGGTTTTATGCTAAATATAATTGTTAGTCGATCAAGTAGCTTCTGGAAAGTTCTCAAAATTAATTAAACAATGAAATATGAATGTAACGACAATTTGATAGTTAACTACGAATGTATCGTTTAATTTGGAATAATTGTTGCACGCGAATTTTAAATAGTAAATTTCGATAATATTGCTATAAAAAATTAAAATTTTTGTCGACACATAACAAATTATAAGACTTAGCATAATAAAGTGTACATTAAATACAAAACTTATTTTGATATTTTTTCAATGATTTTTTTTTTTTTGCTTAGCTTATTAAACCTTCCGCAATTATGTAGTGCAAATAATCTCTTTTATTTAATAAACGATAAGTTCTAAAGTTTAACAATAAAGTTTCTATTAATGATATATGCAAACATACCTGAAATTTGTATAGGAAAAGAAGAATGTAAATTCTTTTGTGAATATCTTTATAATATTATTTAATGACAATTGAAAATTTACAGAATTTATGCAAGTAAAATAAAGTTTGGAGTTATTCACGACATTTTAAACGTCATATAAGAAACATCTTATTTAATTCCTTTTATATTTTTTATGTCGTCAATTAAATTTTTTTTTTTTTTGTTTGTATTTTATATAATGTAATATATATTTTCCTGCTTTTTTTTTTTTTTTTTTTTTTTTTTTTTTAATACCAATTATAAAATTATTTTTATGTTATAATAATAAATGTTTTCTACACCATGCACATGCATACGCACTTTTCCTCCATCATATCTGAATAATAGATTCATTCTGCTTTCTCTATTTTTCTTTTCTTTTCTTAAACTTTGCATTCGTTATTATAACAAACAAATATTTTTTGTTCACACGAATCTTGTAGAAATATGAATAATTCACATTTATTTAGTGTATTGAATAATGAAAACCTTCGATAAATAAAAGAGGTCGTGGGTTAAATGAAATGTCCAGATAATTAATATAAAATTTTGGATACGAGCAATGATAATATAGAAAACAATTTTCATTTATTCCTTTCATTTATATTTACTTTAAATGTAACAATCACAACAAGTACATTTTTAATAGTAACGTGGCATTGATGGTACGTTAAGGCATTTAAATGCTAAAAATTATCAAGCGTTTTAGATATCAACATTTTTACTAAAAAAAAGAAGAAAAAAAAAGAAGCTCAAAATATCTTACTTGAAAATAATATTAGGAGATGATTAACTAACCGGAGGAATGACTCATGCTCAACGAATTTTCAACATACCATTATACACTGATTTGGAGTAAAAACAACACTTGTAACGGCAATGTAAATAACTTTTATGCCTGCATAAGTTTTATCGAAATGTAGTTGATGCGTACATGCATGCCTATTCGATGCCGAGCGGCTGATTAGAAGAGATTACAATAATATTCATCATCGAAATAAAAGAAAATTTTTTCTCTTGAATGAATTTCGTAGCCTTTACTAATTTATAATTATTGTTTCTCAACGATTCATTAAAAATTCAGAAAATTAATGAAATTCATCTTCAAAATACGCGTTGAGGATGAAATGTTTCGATAGTCGGACAAGCAACCTAAAATGGAAAAAGTATCTCAATTAAAACACTCGACAGTCTATTATTGAAAACATTAGTTCCCATTTATTCGATTGTTACAATGATTTCATCGATGACCTCGCGGATGCAAAATGCGTAAAACGAGTGCGAAAACTCAAAGGAACGGCATCGCAAAGCCTGATGTAAATAGCGCTCAATTAGCACGATTGAATATAGGCGAGCTCAATCGGCCCAGCCCCGCTCAATTCATGATGAGGGGCGAGAGGAGTGAGGGGGCATATGCGCACTTGGTGGGACGGTGGCAATCATGGCAAAACACGGAACGAGCAAAACACAATGAACGTTCGTGCGTGAGTTGACCGTTTCGCTTCACATAAGCCAATAGGTGTGCGCTTACACAACTAATTTAATTCACAATATAAAAAAAAAAAAAAAAAAAAAAAAAAAAAAAAAAAAAAAAAAAACTGAATAAAAAAATACAAAAGTGTCGATTAACATTTTTAAAACGAAAGACAAATTAAAACTTTTCCACATTGCAATTTGTTCGAGAATTTTCATCGATCGAAAAAACGCTTGGTATTTTCAAACATTACCAAGTAAATTCGAGAATTATAAAACATGTTCCGTCCGCGCCATCCTCTTCAACTCGTTTAATATTGTTACGTCATTTAAATAACATGACTAGCCAGGCTTAACTTCTTTCATCAATAGGTGTAATCTTATGCATGCGTCAACTTCATTGATGTCAATATTAGGGGAAAAAAAAAAAAAAAAAAAAAAAAAAAAAAAAAATCATACAATAGCTAATAATAATGAAGAAATATATTCTATAGAAAAATAAGGCAGTCAGGTTAAATTAAATACGGCAAGTTTAAGTTAATCGCTAATTAACACGAAGATTCATTATTACATGCATAAATAAATAGAAAACAATTTACTTTAAATGTTCTATAAAATATAATTCCATTCTAAAACGTTAATAATTATGATAAAATACAAATAGAAAGAAAAAGAAATTGTCGACCAAGATAAACGTTAGAATGCGTACATTGCAATTCCCAATAACCTGAAACTGATAGCAATGTTGGTAGTTCAGCGCAGACCTCTACATTTCTACGAATCACGAGTGACAGTTTTATAAAAATAATTTTTAAATATTATTATAGTTGTGCTTAGTTATGTCGTTTTGTAAGGATAGGTCTGCGCTAAATGGGGAACGCAAAAGCTGCCTGTTACAAAGGGCGACTGAAAATCGCGTGAGCCGTTATTTTCGTATGCAGTTAAACCAAGCCTAGTAACAACCTTTTGCATACACCAGTGATTGTTTCATGACTCCCTCTTAGTCTCCGGATATCCGTGCACCTTCGCCGGACAATCTATACGACATCGAGAATCGATTCCTATCCTTGAATAATGACCGCCCCCACACCGCCACCACGCTGCTCCACGCACTTCCCGCCCGCCCCTCTTTGCGCCATTGGGCGACTGGAAAAGATAACTCATCTCGGTATATCACGAACAGAAGCAATTGTGCTCAAGCATTCACCGTCAGCAGTTCAAGGAAAATTCCCAGTAACCACGAATTTACGCTTCCGGATATTTATCAAAGATAAACTCAATCAAGATGTTGATAATTCAGCCAATCAAGGACTATTTGAATTTAAATGTAACTGTTAAAAGTTCAAAAACAATTATACAAAAATTTATTATAGGATTATATCCTATTCGTTGTATGATTAGAATATACACAGTTAATGCATACTAGGTATGACAAATTAATATCACTTTTCAATTACTTAATTAAATTCGGCTAAACGAGAGTTAACTTATGACATTTAAAATTCTATATAATCAACTATATAGATTATAATTATCATTTTTAAATCAACGACAAATTCGAAATACTATCTTGAAATAAGAAAATTCCTATGCTCGGTCAAATCTATACAATTTTGAATAATATAGCTTTAGATTAAAATATAATTATACTAAAATCGTTCGTTTCTAAAATAATTTGTTATCGCACTTACATTATATCGTTTTTTCTAAACATTTGACCGAAAATTGAGTACTTTATTCCTATGCGAATTTAAAAATTGTACGAAACGTCGTAATAGCGTATGATTTTATTTATATCTAACAAATAAATTTTTTTTATTTCATTATGAAAATCAGCTTCTATTCATAAATCCATTGAATAAGGCAGTATATATAAATATATAAAATTTTTATATAAAAAAAATTCTAAGATATATAAATATTTTCAGGTGGAAATTTAAAAATATTGCTGCCTTCAATTTACATTATCTTTATTTTAATATCTAATGAAATCGAACCAATATCATTATTATTGTTAATTTGACGGAAAAATGACCTATTTAATCTATTAGATTCCTAGGTTAATATGTTACGATTGATAGTGAATTTACCAATACCAAGATGATATCAAGTAGAATCTAATGATTTCTTAATTAAAATAAACACTCGACAAAATAAGTATTTATTCCGATCAATTTACACGTCAATATAATTAATGCTTTATTAAACTTTATTTAGTTTTAATCTATATGAAATTAAATAAGATTTTTATAAAATTTGGAAGTTTTGAATTTGAAAATAAATATTAACTCAACGATAAAAACAAATATTTGCTGTGTTATAGTAAACCGAAGATTACATTAAAGTTTTTAGTGCCAATTACACTTTTCGAAGTATACACGAACATATAAATAAAAACAAAAATATACATTTTTTTGTGAATAGTTATAATTAATAAAGTTATAAGATTTATAAGACATATATAGGATGTAAATAATACATTTGATATTGTGTTCTCTCTCTCTCTCTCTCTCTCTCTCTCTCTCTCATGAAAAAGTCAAATCTATAATACAAAATAATTCTCTTTATATGCATTAAAAAAAAAAACTCAATTATGGACAAATTCTATTTAAAGAATATTTTCAAATGGTGAATGCTAAAATTGTAATCCATTGGAATATAAAGAGTATTCGAACATTTTTTCTTTAGAATATTTATTTTTGAATAAGTAATAATAGCATCTGAA